AACGCGCGATGGTTTTGGGCCGTCCCAAAATTCACTACACACATCAGCGTCAAAGGTAAGTTGATGATTCCCATCAGAAGAAAAATTCGCTGTGAGTCCAGTTCGACCAGTCGTTGTTGCTTATTTTATATGTTCGTTTCTAATGATCTTGTGGTGTGCGGCCGCGCAATCTGAGTTTGTTGATCACGTTTGTTAACAAGGTGGGCTCTGGATGAACAAAATTCGAACGTTCTCATTATCTGGTTAGCTTTACAGACTACTGCATGTTTGATTTCGGTTTGTTGGTTTGCCGCCCAAACAACTGGTGAGACAAATACGTTAGAGAAAACTCATTACGTTCTCGGATCCGATTACGTTTTCAGAAGCAATGCACATTCTTTAGGAGGCTAGTGAACAAAAGTTTGTTTAGGCTGTGTATCATATCTCACAGAAAGCTGCCCACAAAAGCCTCCGTTTGCAAAGCGGGGTACCTGCTTTCTTTACTTCCATTTTACTTCGTGCGGCTAACGCTGGCAGTCCTTCAAAACCCCGGTGTTCAAATCGACTCTGACGTAAACCTCGTTGATCTAGAATTCGCGGGCGTAATCCTCTTCGTCTTCTAAAAGGAAAAGTCACTTTTTTATGTCCTATGCACTTTGCACCCCCAAAGTCTACGGTCATGCTCGTTGACGTGCCGTCACTGAACGCGAGCAACTTAAAATCCAGTTAGTATTTGTGGAGCTTTTTACGTATCTTGGTAGCCGTATTAGTTCTGCTTGTAGTGTGACAGATAAGATCAGTGCATTAATCCGCAGGGGCCGGGTCGCATTTGCTAATCTGAGAAATCTGTGCTGTCATAGTGGTGTATCCCTGAATCTCAAGGAACGCATGTTGCCTGCTATTTTCATTGGATTGATGCATGTGACCAGCACCAGAATCTGTGATGTTTAGGCCGTGCATCGTTTATTCTGAAATATTGTTTTCCAGTGCTCCTGGTTGAGGACACTGCAAGATAAGCCTGCTAACCGATGCCGATGGCGTTCTTGTTGTCATTTTCTGTCCTGATTGTCTGAATGACCGTCTAGAGGTGTAAGCTCCTCGGAATAATTGTAGTGAGCCAGCCCGAAGTCCCTTTCCCGTCCACCTTTATTCTTTTCTTCACAGTATGGCTTTCAAATAAATCATGGCTGTACGGTAGTGCATCATCCGTGTTGAACACTGATGTCATGCTGTCGTTGATGATGACAACGATGATGGAGGTGGCTTTTGGACTCATTTCCTTAATGAGTTAGCGTCGTGGAAAACCCCAAAATATTAATGGAAAACAGACTATTGATTGGTACATCTCGGCAGTGTAATGCTCCACATGGTATTACTCATCTCCGGTATGCCTCGACAGGTTCAAACAATCCAATGAGATTGCGTCTGCCAAAGAAGTGAGGAATATTCATGTATATATACATATATATATATATATATATATATATATGAAAAA